CAGCTCTCAAACCAAGTTAGATACACAAATTACGAAAAAAAAAATCAAAACTGTAGGAAGGATTTTTTAACACTTTAAAAAATGTGTGCAAAGTAAGTACCAAGAGTCAACAGCCATTAAAATGTTTAAAASTACATCAGGCATGAGACAAACACCTACTCAGCAAGGACAAGTAATTATACAAGTATTAGGCAAYCCTTCCCCAGTGCCTCCTCTACAGTCAACAAAAAACCCTAAACAAAGATTAAGACTGTGAAAGGTCTATAATGAGATTTCTAAGCATCCTTGTTAGTTCTATCAATAATTTTTGTCTTGAAGACATGGACAGAATTCCAAATGAAGTCTTAGGAACCACATTCACCAGCAGGAAGAATGTATTTGTTAAGAAAAGCACCAGTARGAAGCTACCAATATGAGAAAGTTGCTTCTCTTTTACATTAACATTCATAGAATTGGATACTGCACCCATAAATGTGCTGTTCCCAGCTCACCTTTAGGTCTTTCAGTGGTATTTCCAGGTATTTTTGTATTGCATATGACCATATAACTTCAAGGTCTGCCAATACTGCCGTGAGGGAGCCACCAGGTCCAGAGTGGAGATTCAACTGCCCTCTTCTRATAGGCCAGTGTATATTGTAAGAATCTAATGGATTAACATACAGTGCCTGAAAATAAGAGATGACATTCTGTGCATTGCTTTTCCCAAAAAATTAGTAACAAATACTGGAAAGACAAGTATTTCAGACACTAAGAAGACACAGCAGTGCTCATACCAATGAGATGGCAATATAGTGGATTTCTTTCTAATAGGACTTGATTACAAACCATTAAAATAAAGACAGTAAATAAGTTATTTAAATTGTTTGAATGTTCTTACCCATAGACATCTACTGAACATAATGGAAAAATTTTCCACTATCTCAAATTAGAAATGAAAATAATTTGAACACTTTGAAGCTCACAAATACCAAGTTACACAGCAGTGAATCCATGTACTAATACTTCTATCAGTTTCTTGCCGTTTTTCTGAATTATGCCATATGGGCTAAGTTCTCAACWAGTCCCTGCAGAAACCCTGATTTATAGCAGCAAGGGATCCAAGATACTTGTTAGGCAAATGAGGGAAATCCTTTTGTGTTGCTGTATGGTAACAAATACTCAGTGACTCCACAGCAAAGTTTCTCAGTCTTGCTTGGCTAGCTTTACATGTGTTTCAGTACGTACTAACTTACAGCAAACGGCTGCTGATAACATGGCTGCATGAAAATACATGAATCCTCATTCAGCAGGAAAATCAATCTTACCTCTTCTCCTACCAAAAATTCAGGATGATTTGATGTATTTGTCCACTTGGCCCCAGAGCTGTGATCCAAAATAGCTGGCCTCATCTGTCTATTGTATGACCTGGCCTGAAATGTAAACAAACCAAATCCTGTTGATAAATATTTTAGCAGTCACATTTTATGCAAAGAAGAAAAATGAAACACCCCTTTGAACCCAGCCCTTGAGAAAACATTTTAAGTCTTAATTTTTCTCACATTTTCAGAGTTTGGTAGCACAATAGCACTATCTATATTTTGCCTGTAAAGGGTATCTATTCTTGCCCTCTAAAGCATAGCATCAAATCCAAAAACTGTACGAATGAACAATTAAATACTTTAGCAATCTTAAGAAGGAGTTACCTGATCAGGTGACACTGGTATGCGCCGTGCTCCATTTGACATCTTTTTGGACCATATTGCTTGGTCCACCATTTTAAGGCCATTTTGTCTCTGCTCAGAACTTTCAGGTTTCTAAGGAAAACCCCAAATATGCAACGTAAATACTTTCCAACCACGTCTGTATACTGGTAATACTGAAGCTATTATGAAACAATGAAATGATTATTGTGTTTGGTAAGATAAAAAGGACAGATGTTTATACAATGAAAAACAGATTTATGCTTATTTTTAAGGAAACTATTTTTTATATTAGAGTTCCCAACATCTACTCAAAACAAGTAGAATCTTTTAACAGCTTTTAGTGGCAGCTGGGCTTCATGTCTCAAATTATGTGGTCAGYCCATTATCTATTTAACTACAGAAATATGAAGTAGGTGCAAAAATGTTTAAATAGAACTCAATTACTTAAAGGTGAGATTCGATATTAAAGAGACATTAACTTTTTTCAGATTATGAATAAGATTATAATTTTAGGTCAAGATGGACTAAAATGACTTGCTGTGTTATACAAGTGGTAAACTAACTAGCAACCAACACATTCACAAATGAAGTTTGATTCTAAACCTACAGTTGGCATTCCATCAAGAGAAATATGAGTGTGGTACCAGACCACAGCACAGGGAAACATGTACAAACTTTCAAYCTACCAATTTTTTTGATTTAGTTCATTGCAAACAAATTAAAACGCATAGACTGGGGCAAGCCTACTGATTTAATTAGGTTTCATCGACAGTCCTTAGAAGCATGAGAAAAAGTTTCACTGAAGATGTATTCTCTAGACATACATGAAGGATGAGGGGGACATATGCACTACACAACAAACCAAACCGCCCCGGAACAGGCGATGAACAGGCGGGTTTTGGCGAGGCGGGGCCGTGCTTACATTGAGGCCGTCCCTGAGGAGCCAGCTGTCCCTGTAGGCCGCCTGGCCCTGCTGCTTGTGCCGCCGCGCGATCACATGCGGGATGCCCGCGGGCAGCGTGTCCGTGGCCCGCCCGAGCCGCAGGGTGGTCGAGCCGGGGTGGATCACCACGATGAAGTTGCTCTGAATTTGCTGAAAGCAGCACAACGCGCACGGAGTGAGAGCGAGACCCCGCGACCGCCCGGAGCCCTCCCGGCRCTTCCACACCGCGTTCGCAGGCCTTTAAAAGGCCGAGCCCGGGCCGGGCCCGCCCCAGCGGGGAGGGAGCAGCGCCCGAGCAGCCTCACCGCCGGGCCTCACCTCCTGCAGGGACTCGGGCACGGCGGCGGGGACGATGGGCCGCTTGACGCCRCGCTGCTCGCGCTCTCGGTCGCGCTCCTTGTCCTTGCCGTTCTCCGCTTCGCCTTTCTCCGCCTGGGTCATGCTCCGGCCGGGCGGAAGCCGCGTCTGCCGGGGCCGAGCGGCGCCGAGCCCGGCGCGGGGCGGAAGCGGGCGGGCCCTGGCCCGGCGCCGCCCCTCGAGCAGGTACCGGCCGGGGGCTCCGCGGCTCCGGGGCGCTGCCCGGCCCGGCTTCGCTCGCAGCGGGGAGCGGTGGTCCTGCCCCGGCGCTGAGGGGCCGAGCAGCGGCTCAGGGAGCCGGGGGAGCAGCCCCGCCGCGGCCGCGGGTCTGGTGGAGCACCAGCCAAGCGCTGTCAGCTGGTCTGGTGGGGCTGCAGGAACGGGGGATCCAGCCCACCCCTCCGACAGCTTAGAATGCTCTTCTGTAAAAATGCCGTACCACTGCTGGTGTGAGTGGTATGGCAGTGAAGACCTAGCCATGACCAGCGTCCCTCTTAGTGGGCAGCGAGTTCCTTTATAAACTGTGCAAATGGGACCTGTGACTGCGGGACATGTGCTTTTTAAAGGCTGTAGGTTGATGTCACACTGCCAAGTCTAACAAACGGAAACTTTGTGTTAGGTATCTGTGGCAAGGAGTGGGAGAGGCTGGAAGCGCCTGTTAATTGAGGGGCATTGTTGATTTAATTTCCTGCTAATGAGTATTAAGGAATACATTCAGTGTACATACAGCTACAGAGCCCCAGTTAAGAGGCCGTGAAGTACCAACCCTTTTCACAGCAGAGGGATCTGGTGAGGTCCCAGAGGTGGTGCAGCCAGGTGGGCGAACTCAAGAGCCACGGCAGCACCTGATAATCCTCGGACTTTCCCATGATTATCCTGAGAGTATTAACGCCCAGGAATTCCTTTGTTCGGGGTCCCTCCTTGGGGGCATCAGCTCTAGCCGTTGTTACTTTCTTACTGCATTTTTAAAGTGCTTTTAGAATATTACTAATACAATGAAAACACAGCAAAGTACAGTGTGTTTGTCCTGACAAAAACAGAGTAAATGCAAAACTTATTARGAAGTGCTGCTTCAAGTTTGACTCTCGAGGGACCATCTGCATCAACTATAAATATGCATTTGTTCTCATCTGAATAGCAGAAGGCTTATTGTACTTGAGATTTTTTCAGTTTCTAAAAATGATGAGAAAGTCAGCCTTGTGACAACCCAAATATAATTTACTTATTACTTTGCAGCTACAGTAAAAGGTTCAGAAACTATACAAAGACTTTAGACAGTAAACATGTATTTAATAGAACTGTGCTTCAGTTACACCGGATCCTTGGCGAAGGAGTTCCCAGTACAACTTCATTAATCTGCTTATATCACAGAACAGTTTCCAGTCAGGCATACACATCGCCATTTGGTCCACCACTAAACTCTTCATCTGGCAGATGTGTGTGCTTGTGCCTGCCTCTTCTGCAGGCGTTTACCTAGAAGATAAAGTAATTAAAGTAATTAAAGTTCATTTAAAGACAACATGGCCTTTCTTTGTCAGATAAAATTAAGTAATTTAAAAACAATACTGTTTTTAATTTATCTAGATGAGACATGCTAAAGGCTTGCTAACTTTATTCCTGAGCAGGTTACACATTGTGGAGATAGCTTATGGGCAATCACAGCAGTCTTTGCTGGCCTTGTATCTACTCAACAAGAAAAAAATGCTGCAACATCCTKGCATTCTTTTCTCCTGTTTGAAAGAAGCTTATCCTTGTTCTAGTTTACTGAAATACCAGTGTATGTGTTTTCTGGAACATGAAATTTTTCCTACCAGATTTACAGGTATTAATCACCTGGTGGTTTTGGTTTTTTTTCCTTGCAACTTTTATTATAGTAACAATAGGAGTGAATGATGTCCTCTGCAACAGGAGGACAAAATACTCCATCCTACTTTAACCCTGAATTATCATTGCTATTAAAAAAAAAAAAAACAACAAAAAACCCAAACCCTTCAAAGCAGGATACAGCAGATTTGGAATTACCTTCCTCATCCACCTCCAGCCATTGGTGGTGGACTGGGCCCTCCACCCCAGTGATTTATTCGGCCCATTCTACGGCGAGGATGTGCTGGAGGTCTGAAAAGAAAGCAATCCTATTGTCATTRAACTTTTTAACTAGAAATAATAACACTGTCTCTAAGTGTCAGTGTCTCTAACTTTTCAGAGAAAGTCTGAACTTCTGAAAAAGTTGACTTTTACCTGAAAGCCTGTGAGAAAACTCCAACCCCACTTTCATGAAAATTCTCTTTTGCACTTTTCTCATTAATCCTGTGTGATGTGAGAAGACTACAGATACCTGATATTTTACACAGTCCTACAACACACTTAGGCTGTGGTGTTTAYAGAAATTATACCTTTATAAAAAGTGTTTTGCTTTATCTGTAGGCAGTGTAATACATGAAATGACCGAACTAATGCAAATCAAATGCTGAGTATAGGCAAGTGTTAAGAAAAGAAGAATTTCAACAAAGATGCATGTTGTCTACTAGGTAGGCTTCAAAAATAGTTTGAGAGTGTTAGTCTCCACTGCTATAGCAGCTGTTCAAAGCTGTGTATTGTTATCAACAATACTGCAGATAAAAAGCAGCACCTGGACTTCCTGCACAACCCAATTCAATGCAAATCACAACTATAATCTACGCAGATTCATGTAACTTCGACAAGATAGGGAAAAAATCTGGTGTGAATATGCAAAAAAAATACCCTCTTCCATCATTGTATCCCGAATAGGAGGAAGATGTGTAGCCTCTTCTTCTCAAATCTGGTTGAATAATGCTCTGGAAACTGAAAAATTAAAAAAAGGGTTAGGTGAATTGATAGCTAGATACACTTTTTATATTTTTTTTTATTTGCCTGAAAACAATACGTAGTGTTCAGGAATGGAGAGTGTATCTTTTCAAGATCACTGTTGTTTAAATCTCGGCAATTTTTTGTCTACAGGTGAAACTAAAATCTGAAATAATTCCAAATTACAGTGATGCTTAATCTATAAGAGCTAGTTTTCTTGCAAATATGCAAGAAATGCATGCAATATAAACTCGCAACTGAAACAATTTAGAACCACTGAATACATCACAAGAATTTCTGTTTGTTAACTGGCTTTTACCTGGGGTCATAAAGTTGTGTTTAGATTACTTTTACATAGTCAGAATCTRTTATCTCAAGAAGAAATTCTACAAACAGCATAATTCTTTGGTCAACTAGCAGAAGCTGTTTAACAAAAGTGTATGYTTTTCTTTTTGCAGTATCAAAATAGATGAAATGTAAGAAAACCCATTTGAACTGCCAAAAAGTTAGTGCCASTTTTCATGCCGTATTTGTTAAGTATACTGTAGTGCTTAATAAACAAAGCCACAGTCATAGTAAAGCATTTATACATATGGAATACTGAAGAGTCATAATGTTTTCATTGTTACATTACTGATGGCATTGAGTAACTTCCATCTATGTCAAATCTAAAATGAAGCTCACCAAAAGAACTAACTTCTACTTACAACAGGACCACAAAATCTGCTATTGACCAGAAGAAATCTGTTATAGATGACAAACTCCAGGGAGCCCGACTCTGGTTATCCAAAACTTGCCCTGTAACATATCCAAATACAAAACATCCAATGACGTTCACTGTTGACACGGTACAGCACATTACACAAGAACACGTCTGCTAAGTCGAGTTTGCAGCTGGAAGGGAGAAACTGCATTTCATGGCGCCGAGTTTCATTTTCTGCAGTTTATTGACCAAGTACTTGGACTAAAGGGGTCACCACTGTCACACGGGTTCTATATGTCCAGGAAACCTACAGAAAGTACCGGGACAGTGTCCGATTTCCCGTAAGCGGTTAAACTGCTGCTCTGTGAAGCTCCCGGTGTCGCAGCACGCCCTTGGACTCCTCTAAGTCCCCAAACACGGTTTAGAAGCAGACGAGTCTCGGCCGCAGGCCGCAGGGCAGCGCGGGGTGACGCGACACCGGCAGCGGGCGGACCCGGCCGGGCTGTCCCGGCAGCGGCGGCGCTCGGGGGCCGCGCTCCGCAGACCCGGTGCCCCACCGGTCGGTGCCCAGCCCCCGGCCCGGCCCCTCACCGCTGGAGAGGCACACCACGGCTGCCCC